TTTTGTGAAAACATAATAAATTTCATAGTTTTAACATGATTATATTATGTGGTTCTTTTACACTAGGGTGATTTGGTGAGAAATAATAAGAAAAATAACTTTTTTCTCATGTTTGATTTGTAAATTGAGTGAGAAATATTGAGAAAGAAAATTATCTTACTAAGCTTAATTAATTTCTCACCAAAAGTGGTGAGATTTTGTGATAAACAAGTTAATTGGTGATAAAAAATTTAAAATATCAATATTGTCCCTTAAAATACAAAGAAAGCAAAAAAATCTCATTCATATTTCTCTCCCACATGCTTTGTTTTCCTTACTCATCCAAATATGATGGTGAGAAAACATAATTATTTTTTTTCTTTCTCACCTAGATGAAAGATTACAATAATTTATTTCCTTTTCTCACCCTATAATTCAACGTTTAAATTTATATAACACTAATTAATCTCATTTTTCTTGATAATTCGTTAGTAATATGTGTATGGAATAAACTGCATATATATATAATATCTTACCTATAGAACTAATTATATGTATAATTTTCAGTACTGATTGTTGCTGAGCAAACTTTTTTTAATACATTTTTTTTTTTTTTTACGACATTTTAGTTGCTTACTTTATTCTTTTTTCCAACAACGGTATAGTATTTCTCCTCTTTTTGAACTCGAACCTTTTCATATCCAATCTCAACCATGCCCTCTACTAATATTCTACAATTTGAAACAGGTTGATTCTCAACAACTATTGTTGTAGTTGCTTTGCTCTCATATTTGTTAGATAATCTAAGCATATGTTAAATGGTGTATCAGCATCTTTGTTGCTTTGCTCCCCAATGGCTCTGTTGGGAAGGAGCTCCATTTTTTTTTATCAAATACATAGTCATTTGTATGTCTGTCTAAACCTTGAGCACTTTGTTTTCTCATTATCACAAAACCCAAATGATACAACACCTAATCTATATCTATATATTGTAAGATTTAATAATACATGTAACCATAATAATAATGCGGAATTAAACTTTACAGGATCTTGAATTCAATACAACTCAAGAATAAAACGAATATACCTTTGTCAGCCATTGAATTAGAGAAGTTGAGAAAATACCCCTTAGAGTTGAACCTTTAATTTTGGCTCACCTTCTTCTCTCTGTCTCTCTTAATTAGGATGACTATAAAACTTAAAGTGATGGAAAAATACTCATGATATGAAAGGGGAGTCACCCATCCTTATATAGAGGAGAGAAGAGGGCCAGATAAACTCTATCAGAAGAATTCCTAATCCATCAAGGTTTCCTTCTTATCTTAGAAGAGTGATTATATTAAAATTCTATTTACTGAACTTGATCTCAAATATTGGCTTTATCTATTTGTGGAGTCCAAATAAATTAAAACATGTAAAAAATATGTAAGCTATTGGGCCACACTAAAAAAATAAATCCAACATATATATGATCAAAGAGTATCTAAAACTACTAAACTAAAAAACTATCACAAATCTCACTTACAGCTTTTTTGAAGGTGTATTTAGAAGTACCCCTCCCCTACCATTAGGGAAATTCAAATTCCACATGTCATTTCGTCTTTTTGTACACACTTAATGAAAGAAAATTTTAATGACCATTTTAGCACGAAGCAAAATGACCATAATAGATATCAATACACACTCAACTTTTCTATGGTGATGTGTTTTAGGCCATCAGCAGTAGGTATTTTCTTGATTGCTACATGCTATTAAGGGGTAGGAATGGCATTCCCGGCTGTTGCTGCCTGGCTGTTGCTGCCCCTTCATTCCCTTGTTTTGTGGGATCACTGCCCTGTTCTTGAGGTAACTTGCATGACTAGTTTTGTACTGGCATCACTGTTATGCATTAAGTGGTCACTGATTTGAATAAGCGAAATTTTTTATAGGTTGCAATTTGCAGCATTAACCATTACTTTATTCCTACTTGTGTTTGTGGGTGTGGCTTCAGTTGCAGCCAGAAGACTCAAAACAATGGGTTTTATTTAGGTTTTCAATGATACACGGTCATGGTGCAAATTATGGAACTTCATATTTACTTGAATAATGTGTTTGAGTCTTTTTAACATGCATCTCAGAACTTTTTAATAATCTGGATTTTAACTGGTTTTATTAGTTGTATTATTATATCTTATTATTTTTGATTTGGACATTCAGTTAGCATGAGATTTTAATACTATTTCCTTGTATCTTTTGAATTTTGCTTCTTGTAATACGAAACATAATGAACACTACAGAATATATAATTTCTAGAAGGATAAAATGAACTGTTTCCGAAATTATAATTCAACTTTTCTATGGAGTTGCTAGAAGATGAGTCTTCACTGTAGGTGGGTGTGGCTGTGTTTCAAGGTGGATGTAAATCTTATTTAGGTGGTGTGTGTACAATATTTGAGTAAATGTTATAATTAAAACATGTAATGCGTGAAATAAGAATAATAATATATAATCAGATTCATAAGTATATGAACTGAAATATAATGTGCAAGCACAAAGATAAAAAAGTGTGTGAAAATAGAATTTCCCTTACCATTACCTTCTTTTAGAAACACACAAAATGACAATTTTAACCACCTTGAACCGCAAAAATATCATAATGCCTTTGAAAAAGATTGTTTACTAACGAACATTAGACATAGCCAACTATCATTTATTTGGGAAATAAATGTACACCAGGCAAGGCCGAATCTTTTATTTAGATCTTCTATTCCCATTTTTCAAGTCACCCCTCTGTCACACCATAAATTTCTTTAGCCTAATCATGTGATAGATTGGAACAATAGAATAGGCATGATGTGGACATTGGACCCTTACTCACTAAGGTCATATTGTATCTTGTCTTTTACTTATTTTTTACAACTATGTGTTATCTCTAGGCACTCCTCTACCACACAATAAATTTCTCTAGTATAATCATGTGATAGATTGAGATATTGGGATAAGCATGATTTGGATATTGGACCCCCTTGCCATATGATATCTTGTCTTTTACATATTTTTAACAATCAATGTGTTATGTCCTCTCCTCTCCCTTCTGCAATTGATTGCTTAAAATCGCTCAACATTCAAAAAAACTGACGTGCTCATTGAGGTGCTCCTAATCAAATTTAATTATCATCAAATTTCCTCTAGCTAAATGGCTATTTAAGATTAGCAAAGTACAAGGACTCTCCACTCATTTAACAAATGAGTTTGGCATGAGAGATAAGTACTACTAGTACATACATTAATACCTCGTTTAGAAATATATTATTTTAGTAATTTTTTGACTAAAATATAAAATAAAAAAATTAATATATTTGAAATGAGTTTAATATTTTACGAAAATACATATAAAAAGTAAAAAATAAATAAATAAAATCTTTGATTTTTTTTACTTAATTTACTACTACTTAATTTTTAGGCTAAAATACACTCCCCAAAATGCATAAAAGAGACAAGCCTAGATGATTTTATTTCAACTTTGTAAGAACATATTTTTGATATTACACTTCAGAGTCATATTTAAAAAATAAAAATCAAAAAACTCTCATTCTCAAGGCCTAAAAATGTTTCAGAACTTAACATGTGATTGGGCTCTTGTTATCAATCCAGTGAAGTGGACATTAGCTTTTGGTCGTTGTTTTGAAGTCACATTAATGAGGTGTCATACTGAATAATAGAATGGGTCAGTTAGAATTTCCCTCATTAATTTTTTAAAGGAACACAAACAAACAAACTAAACATTCATTTAGGAGAGTAAAACATTATCAAATCAGACGCAAATTGAAAACGACCATAAAAGTAAAATGATAGGGCAATTTCGTACATAATCTGATTTTTTTTAATCTTATTTTCTCATTTCTAGATACAAAACAATAAAGGCCACGTCAATGAAACCAACTCACTTATATGTAGACGTGAAAAAAACAAAATAAAAAATAAAATTATATTGAGCATTTTCCAAAATGATATCAAACTAAGAAACATTCATAGGATTTATTTTGAGCATTTTCCAAAATGATATCAAACTAAGAAACATTCATTTAATCCTATGATATGACTTGTCACCTGACTAAAACTGATATCCTAGAGCGCCAACGATATCACTAAGATTTAACTCTCACAATTAAAAATGCAAATCCCAAAGTAAAATTTAAGGCCGCCAGTAAAAAATACATTTTGTTCAACCAACTTAAAGCATCCGCAACTGACTCCTTAAATCATTCATTTATCTATTTTAAGGGGTTGGAACTCCCTGATACCCACCCTATCAGCTTCCTTATAAGCCACCCTAAATTAATATTTGCTACAGTGACTCTATTTGTAAAGAATCACTGCAACTCCCTCATATCTAACAATGGTAGTCCACTCGAATGTCCCAGACGAGTGATCTGGACAAAACTTGCTTCGCCAGTCATCCAGCGAGTCGACCGACCCATAGTTTCTATCCATGTAATTCACTCTCACAAAGACCTGCACTCTCTACCTCTCTCAATCTCAATCTCTATTTCTGTTGCAGGAAACAATAACACAAAAAATAAAACAAAAACAAAAACAAAAGAAAAGATGAATAGTTTGGTGGAGAGACTTCGTGTTAGGTCTGAAAGAAGACCCATTTACGACCTAAATGATTGGGACATGAGACTTATTTCTGTTGCAGGGAAAATCTGGGTCTTCTCACCCCAAGAAAAAAAATGAAAAAGTGAAAGAATAGGAAAAAAATATTTTAATAATATTTTAGGAAAAGAATAGGAAATTTGTTAGAAGAAATAAATAAAAAGTGATTATTAAAATAAAGAATAAATTTTTTAATAATATTTTAAAATAAAAATATAAGGGAGCTGATAAGAATGCTCTAATATATCAATAGAACACCTTTAATTGTAATGTAAACCCTATTTCTCAAGCTCACGGAATACATCAAGAACTTGAGAAGCCGATGCTGCAAAGTAGTAAATAATCAGCTATCAAAGCTAATGGCACGACTACAGCATTTTCCCTCAATTTGGTAAAAAAATGTCTCGATTAAAATTTATGAAAACTTAAGATCCCAAACAGTAAGTTTTCAAATATCATGATAAAAATACAGAAGTACCATCAATACATATGAAATCCATACCATACCATAGCAAGTGAAAATTATCCAAAACTTCAACCAAAATGCAATTCTCTTGAAAGGATTGGCCTAAGCAGCAATAGATGGCTTAGAAGCGGCAGAGAGCCTGGATCTTTTCTTGGCTAAGCTCTCACTTCGCTTGTCTCTCTGTTGCTTCAATCTGGTAGCGAGGAGCTTCTGGTAATCAGCTGCCTCAGATTTAGCCTTTGCAATTCTCTTCTTCTTCTCAGCAATTCTTGCCCGCTTCCTCTGCAAAGTCAATGGAGTAACCAATCTCTGGATCTTAGGAGCCTTACTGACCTTCTTCCCTGCAAACATACAGCACAAAAATTGTCAAAAAAATGTCCACTAAGCAAACAAAAATACAATCAGACCTAATCTTCCTAAAGCACTATCCAAAAAGAAGAATTATTTTATAACAGGCATTTATCCCCAGAAGAACAGCAGAATTAAATCAACCCAATGCTTCCATGGAAAACAGACCATACAAATCAACAGAATGGAGTCGAAGAAAATAAGAAGTGCCTCCTTCAAATACACTAAAATTGTATGGTTAATCCATTTGGTCTAAAACCACACTACCAACTCTATCTAGAGAAGCCACGTCAAAACATCATAATAACCCAGTTCTTGTTAAACAGAAAGAAGGAAAAAAACCCAATTATTGCCCACTGGAATTATTTAAACATGTAGCATGCTTAAAATTTGAGAAACTTACCAGCCTTGGTTGTGAATGTTCGACGGTACGTGTTCACATACTTTCGAACATCATCCTCCTTGGACAGGTTGAAGAGTTTGCGAATTTTTGATGCCCTCTTCGGACCCCTCATTCTTGGTTTCTCTGTGTCAGTCAACCCAGGAAGGTCACTGTCACCTTTCTTCACAATAACCAAGTTCAGGACAGACAGGTCTTGGCTCACAATGCACCCACGTACAGACTTCCTCCTCCTCTCTCCATTGCGCCTACCATATCCACGGAAGCAAGGTGTCCCTGCCAATCAAAATGAAAAGGTTCGAGGTCAGTATCCTGAAGGAAGGCAAACAAACAGTGAGCTAAAGCAAAATAAGCTTCTAAAAAAGGCCACGATGCACCCAAAGAGCTGTGACAGCTAATAGGCAAGTAAGACACTAAAACAGGAAGTATACCAACCTCTGTGGAGCAAGAGACGAACACGACCAGGTGTTAACACTCCCTGTTTCATTGGGAAGCCTTGTTTGTCACAGCCTCCCATAATCTTGAAAACATAGCCCTTAAATTCCTTTTAAACATAGAAAAAAGCCTTGAAGTAAATACATATATATAAATAAACAACTACAGTAAAATTTGGAGCTTTATGGAGGAGTGGTGCATGCATACATCTCCAAGGGAATCTCCGCTGACCTCCTGTGAGATCCTCTTGTCAAAAAAAGCTCGGCTATGCAGCCAAAACAAAAGGTGGAAAAGTGAGACATGTCAGTCACTTAAAAATTACTAAAAGAACAAAGAATATGTACAGAACTATTTCCTGTAATTGCTGAAGATACAAGGCATGGAGATTACATATGTTTTATACCCTGTATGCATGAGTTATAAGACAACCTAACTGAAAAGAAAATGGTGCATCATGCAAAGTTTTGAATTAGGGCAATTATACATCAATATTTTAAAGTACTCATTGCCAGATAGCAGGTTTAAAAATGCAACATCAGACACAATGATATTAGATAGACACACAACTCAATGTTCTGACAGTGGTGATGATGAGATAATAAAAAATCAAGATGTCAATTTGTTCAACTGCAATGAAGTTAAAATACGAAAAGAAATCAACTCCGAAGGGCCAAAGATTTCCCCGCCTGATTTCAGCAAGACTTGGAAAGCATTTGATATTTACTAGAATATGAACTGCCCCATTGTGCTTCTGTGAAACATGAAGATCAAAATTTGTCATCTAAAATGAGGCCTTTAAAAAAAACAGCAACCATGAGTCCATATTAAAGTTTTCTGAGAAAGCAAGTTAAAAATTCCCATTCTTTATTGAATGAATTTCACTCTATCAAATGCTTCCTTTCAACATTGTGTATTTCAACTAGAGATTATTCACCCAAAAAAGAAAAGTACTTCCACTAGAGATTGTAACATAAAACAGCGAACGGCCATTAAATTTTTAAAGGACATCCAAATACATGCAAACAAATAAGGAATTTATAGCCACACAAGAAATTTTATCTGAATATAAGGGAACTTGGGGAAGAGTTTTTAAAGAAATAAATAAATAACAAGCATGTCATGCCATTTTGCCTTTCATTTCTTCTATCACCCATTTTCTTCATTGAAATAAATTCAATAATTTCACTTGCACCTCATCATACAGAAGTTGTAGGTTTGGACGTCATGACTATACATTAGAAAAAAGAAGCAAAAGGTCATGCATTTCATATGACCCAGGTACCTCAAAAGCTACTACGAAATTGTGGAGTGTAAACAGGTTACTCTACTCATTTCAAACCAGTAGGTTGTTTGTGTGGTTGAAAGTTAAAACTTTAGAACTTCATGCTTTTGCAGAGGGCTTGTAAGATGGATTGAGCAAGTGATCATAGTATGCGATGAAACCATAAGGCTGTGTTTGGTTCATGGATTGGGAGATGAATTTGGAAAGGGAAAAGGTACATTTCACACACCTTTTCCGTTTCCGTTTCCGTTTCCAAATCTCTACCCAAATCAATAAACCAAACACAGCCTAAACATCTTGGGATTGAAATTACATTAAGAACAAGTCTTCACCCAGAGAAAAAAACAGCAACTAAATTCTTAAAATCTGACATATGGGAATTGACAGAAAGGCATGAAAGAAAAAATCAGTAATTGAAAGCTGAATCTATGTTTTACCATTGCAATGAGTACACAACAATGAAGTTGAGTTCCCCAATACCTTTCTACAACCATTTGGAACAATAAACCTAAATCCAACATTTCAACAAGTGATACATCCTGCCAATGATATTTGATTTTGGGTTTCTCTACAACATTACTGTTATTATGACTCTACATACGACAAAAATTCCTATGCCACGAGAATGTTTCATATGAAGTAAAAACCAGTATCTTAATTTTCTTACCACCAACTATATTAATTAAAAAGTAAGCATTTTCACGAGAAAAAAAAACTTTTGTGAATGTGCGTGTATTTATAACAAAAATTTCCGAGGAAAATAAACTTACAGCTTCTGATCATCGTCGATTTCAAGCTTCTTCTGGCAACCAGTGGTCGGATTGGCGATATTGAACTGCAAAAATACATTAGATATGCATATAAAAGAGAATTAGGGATAGAGATAGAGAGCAACATGAAAAGAAAAGAGTGATCAAAGGATTGTGATGTTTGGAGATCGAACCTTCATGGTGGATGAATCGAGTCTTTGGCTTCAGCCGAGCAGTCTCGAGGAAACGCGACGGCGGCAACAGTGGGAAGAAATGAGATTTAGGGTTTTGTTTGCTCCTCTTACACTCCGTATATATATGCTGTGCGATGATCAAGAGTGCGGGTTATTTACGGTCTTTTATTTTATGTTTTTCTTCCGGTTTTATAAGGGAAAATTATTCAATTTTGTAAAAATTAAAATTAAAATTTTTTATTTTTTATTTTTTATTTTTATTGATTGTTTTTTAATATTTTCATTATTTTTTTATTTTTAGATATATTTAATATAAATACACTTAAAAATTATAATATTTGTGAAAAAAAATCTTTAAAAAATTCACTAATAATGTATTTAGTTAGAGAATTTAATAAAAGATTTGAAAAGAAAAAATAAAAAAGTAAGTGAACTTCAAATAACATATATTTATATTTCACCTAATTTCACATACATTTTCTATTTCTTTTTCCAAATTTCTTTCTAAATCTCATAACCAAACACAGCATAAATATAAAAAATACAAGAATTCAATACATTTTTCATATTCTATGTATTTATTAATTTTTTTTTTAATATTTTAGTTTTTAGATATATTTAATTAAGGTGCATCTAAAAAGGTAAAAAATTGTTTAAAATTTTAAAAATAGTTAAAAAAAATATACCAAAAATAAAAAATTCAATTTTTAAAAAATTAAATTCAAAAAATTCAGAAATATTGATTATTTTCCACTTACAGGTCTTTTTAAAAATTATTATAAAATAGTAAAAAAATTATGATTTTAATTATTAATATTTATAAAATTTATTACTATTTTTTGAATAATTTTTCTTTTATACTATTGTAATTCCCCCATTTTACAAACTCATATTTGATTTGATTTACAAAAATTATTTTTTACAAACATCCAGCTAAGGCTTGGCAATAGGCCGCCAGTTGGTCCAAACTGAAATCCATAGACTTCGACTCGTTAGGCCATTTTCAACGTTTAACCAAATTCATCACTAAATTTAAATTTAGTAAAAAAGTATATTTTTTTTGTCTCTAATGGTTTCATCAAAACTGTATCAAATTGAAAACATCTCAAATCCTTCATCAAACTGAGGACCTGGGGTCAGCTTTCACCAATTTATTATGCGTGAACGTTAGAGGTAAGACCCATCAGATGTTTAGCCGGTTGTTCCCCCGATCATCCTCTTCCGTGAACAATTCCTACAAAAGTAGGTAACACAGAGTGTTGGAAAAGTGGTTTTGCACGACCATGACTTTTGACTAACTTTAAGCCTAAATTGAGATGGGTTCCGAACACCGATTGAGGTGTGTCCGAGTGAAAACGTGTTATTTGTTTGGGTGATAATTCACTTCGTATATTTAATTGTTCAAACCATTTTCCGCATGAATGCGAAATTGACTCCGAAAAAGGCTTCGGCAACATAGTAGTTGCTCTGCTATCTTCATCATCATTTAGCTTTCTACATTATAAATATAAAGCATAGTATGTATGTATGTGTATGTGTGTGTGACCTTGTGAAACAAACAAAGATGTATGTGTATATAGTGATCCAAACAAAGAAAATAGAAGATAATAACAATTGATAAGAACAAAAGGCATCAAAAAGTTGCATGAGTGCATAAACATCAGTACGGAGAATATTTTCCTCAAGAAAACAGTCACATAGAATCTAGAAATTGAAGATATATATATATATAGAGAGAGAGAGAGAGAGAGTTTGTGTTGGTAAGAAGGATATTTCCCATAAGACCAAGAATTTAGTTTCTTTCAATTTCTGAGGGATGGAAGACAGTGCAGGTTTAGTTGCAGGTTCTCACAACCGAAATGAGCGGATGGTCATACATCGGGATGGAGAATCTGGTGTATATTATTGTTCTTAATGTTCTTCTTCTTCTGTAACTCCTAAGTTCCCAACCAAACAATGCTTCTCTTCTTTCATAATTATTATGACAAACAATTCAACTGTTGTTTTTTATTTTTTATTTTTTGCATTGGCTGGTCATCCACCAGGTCGACCAGTGATTTGATGAAAAGTCAAATTTCTTCATTAGAGCAAGCGATATCAAAGAGAGTTTTTATTCAAAATTTTACTCAAATTTAGTAAAAAAAAGTAATACACCGTTAAAGATGTCCTTAACAGATCGGGGTCGATTGACTCATCCTATATTTGTTGAGTGCAAATCCTGCTTATAGACTTACAAATATGGATTTGTAAGTTTGGGTCGTGCTTATCCTATTTGGGCATAATATGAGTTTTTTTATTAAATTAAAAAGTAATTGAAAAAAATTCAAAAATTATAATATTATATTTTTAAAGATACCCTAACAATTATATTTGCATATTTAATAAGGATAAAAAAAAAAAACTAAAGTTGAATTCTATTTATTTAATTAAAATACAAAATTATATTTATAGCATTACTAAATTAAAAGTAAAGGCGAGATAGATTACATGCATCACTATATTTCAATTAGATTGACACATATAAACAAGTAAAGGCAAGATGGATTACATGCATCACTATATTCCATTTAGATTGACACATATAAACTCTTCAATCCTTTGCATTTTCTATCCAAATAAACTATGTATACACGACAAATTAATTGAAAAAATAATAATATTACCAAACATAACAAAGCTTTCAACGGTAACAAAACTCAAATGGGTCTTTGATATGGGCTTATGGGTTGAGCCCATGGTCCAAGCCTTTAAAAGCCCGTTGGGGTGAGGCATGGGCCTTACCTCTCAACCCAAGCGTACTCCATGTTTTTACGATCAAGTTGGGCCATGGGCTGATGAGCCAGTCCAAGCTCGGGTTGGACCGTCGGCCATGAGCTTTTTTATGAGGCTTAAATCCACCTCTACTGCTTCAAATTATCTTATCTCTCCAAAAACAAAACCCCATACCACATTTTTATCAACAAAGTGAATATGGTGTTTAAAATCATTGATGTTATAAAAATTAAGAAAATATAAAGCAGATAAAGTAATAAATTGTAAAGTAAATAAAATAATAAACTTAACACAAAATGAAAAATGCTTGGTGGCCCGAATGGCTCGAATGTATCAAAACGGCGTTGTTTTATTCCCAAAACGACGTCGTTTTGACACATTCGAACCATTAATTTTTGGGTCACCAAGCATTACAGAACGCAAAATATAGAGATAATGGAGTTATTCAAGCACTCTTGTTTGGTTCTTTAAGAACCTTTAAATAAAAATCCTAGAATTTAGTTATGTTGTTTAATTCAATGATTAACTATATATTTCAGTATACTTCTCACTATTTCTTTCTTTCTCTTTTGATTTCAACTCTCTTTTTCATCACTTCTTGTACATTTGAATGAATGAACGATCCCTCCATTAATATGAAAAAAATTAAATAGTAAAATTCCTATTTCAACTATCAAACAGTAAAAACATTTACTAAACCTACTAAGACTGTACATCAATAAATATGACCAACATGTCTCCACATGTTTCATAACAATTGAAACTTTGTAAGGGCTTCCATAATTTTAAGCAAGCTCCTTGAACACAAGTCAATTTTGATAGTGCAATGCTCGCTTCCTATCATATATTTTGGTAGGTTATACAAAACTCCAACATAATATCTGTGTTTCAAAAATAGCAAATTCCATGAATTTCATGAGTTTTTTCATGTCATACATGAATACATTCATAAAATATCATGCCGATATGTAAGATTCATCATATTTAAAAAAATAGTAAGATCTATCCTTATCTTTTAGATAGGAAAATTCTCCGGTGTACAATACACATCGTATACAATCTTATTATAAAATTACGTAAGTTTTCACGAATTTACATGAGTAATCTCACAAAAATATATAAGTTGAACATAAATTTGCATAAGTTTTAAGTTTTCACGAATTTAGGTGAATTTGTGTTTAACTTACACATTTTTGTAAAATCACTTATGTAAGTTCGCAAAAGCTAAAGTAATTTTGTGGTAGGTTTACATGCTATGTGTATTACATGCCGGAACATTTTCATTTTAGATATAGTAAATTTTGCATGCATGTATGTATTTCGTAAACCAGCATAGAAAGTGTAACAAACTAATGATATTCACTCGATGACATATATCATTTTCATAATTTAATTCGTCTCCCTTCTAATCAAATACATCCGAATAAAACAAATAAAAACTTTCGTGAAAAGTGTGTCAGGAATCATATTTTGGATGCCCTTCACATATGTTTGGAATGACTAAATATAAAAAGGGAAATGAAATGAGTCTCTCATTACTTACAATTCAATGCTAAGTTAGCTAATATTAGAGGCAATAAAAGTTTCGATCATGATATTAGGGGCAATAATCTAATATCAGATTTTTACTTAGTTTGAGAAAATGATTGTTGCTTAAGCAAATAATTAATAACTTTTCCATTCCAATCTGTTTTCAAATGGTGGAATCATGGGTACCCAAAATCATTCTCATTCCAATTAAGATTCATGGCATCCAAACTAAAAAATAATATCAATAATTACCACACACAAGGAAAATTTTATGGTACATATGTCCTCAAAAAATTTGTACCATATGCCTAATTATGCAGAGTCGATTGGAAAATTCTTTGGTATGCAATATAGATTGTATGCAACTCTACACAAAATTACATAAGTTTTTACAAATTTACATAAGTGATCTCACAAAAATGTATAAATTGAACACAAATTCGCATAAGTCTTAAATTTTCATGAATTTATGCAAATTTATGTATTTTTTTGAGATCACTTATGTATATTCGTGAAAACTTACATAATTTTGTAGTGGAGTTATATACACACCGAAATACACACCGAAATATTTTGTGATGTTTTTCATTATGACTCAAATGGTTTTAAGATTTTGTAGTTTTTGATTATGAACTGAATTGACCTTGACTAGGACTATAGTTATGAAGCACTTTTTTTTTTTTTACTTAGTTTGAGAAAATGATTGTTGCTTAAGCAAATAATTAATAACTTTTCCATTCCAATCTGTTTTCAAATGGTGGAATCATGGGTACCCAAAATCATTCTCATTCCAATTAAGATTCATGGCATCCAAACTAAAAAATAATATCAATAATTACCACACACAAGGAAAATTTTATGGTACATATGTCCTCAAAAAATTTGTACCATATGCCTAATTATGCAGAGTCGATTGGAAAATTCTTTGGTATGCAATATAGATTGTATGCAACTCTACACAAAATTACATAAGTTTTTACAAATTTACATAAGTGATCTCACAAAAATGTATAAATTGAACACAAATTCGCATAAGTCTTAAATTTTCATGAATTTATGCAAATTTATGTATTTTTTTGAGATCACTTATGTATATTCGTGAAAACTTACATAATTTTGTAGTGGAGTTATATACACACCGAAATACACACCGAAATATTTTGTGATGTTTTTCATTATGACTCAAATGGTTTTAAGATTTTGTAGTTTTTGATTATGAACTGAATTGACCTTGACTAGGACTATAGTTATGAAGCATTTTTTTTTTTTTTTTGGGTTAATGAACCAATTTTGCTTTGGTTATGAGCTAAATTAGTAAAAGATACGAGCCATTGTAATTTAAATTTTAGGTGTATATTATGCTTATCTTTTGAGAGCGCGTATAGTAGCCCTTCCCTAAACAAAAATGTACATCTCTGCTTTAGAGCTATCTTCTAATTAACAGCCACTAGACAGAATGTTCAGAATAATAGAACAGAAAACAGAAAATGGATAAAAAGAAGGGTAATTATGAAGCTTTTGAAATGAAAGTGCTACAAGACACATAATTTGCAATACATTATTGTATGGTACATTTGAATAAAACCGAAATGAAATGATCATTTCTTAACTTTTATATAGAATGACTATTCTCTTGTATAGCAACGAATGATATTTTTATTTGCAATGCATTTTTCATCACTTTTTAGTAAATTGAACGTGAGAATAGACATTATGATAGATTGATTATTCTATTTCATTTCATTTCAGAAAATCAAACACTAGCTAAAACAGCATATCAGAAATCAGAAATCAAAACACAATACAAATTCTATAGTTCCAGATCAGTTCAACACTCTGAAACATACAGATGCAACAATACCAACTACCTAATGACCACAAAGCATCCTCAAACTAAAGAGGAAACAGAACTGAGTGTCAGCAAAGTTCTTTTGAGGGTGTTTGCCTTCAAGGTTAACCATAAAACACTTAAAATTTAGCTACTATTATTTCATATTTACCACCAATAATTGGGACAAAAACTTGTTATCACATATCCACCAACACTAACCCAATGTTGTTGATCACTTTCCAGGGCTTTCTGGGAATGTGAAAAACAGGGGAAAAAGAAAAATAAAAGACAAATAAAGGTAAAAAGCACACAGAATATAACCCAGAGTTGCAGTATAGTTGAATGTGTCACCTGATTTGGTGGCATTACATTATATTTCTACATCCACCAACACTAACCCAATGTTGTTGATCACTTTCCAGGGCTTTCTGGGAATGTGAAAAACAGGGGAAAAAGAAAAATAAAAGACAAATAAAGGTAAAAAGCACACAGAATATAACCCAGAGTTGCAGTATAGTTGAATGTGTCACCTGATTTGGTGGCAAAAACAGAATCATCAACTGGCCTCACTGATTGTTATTACTCACCCTGAAGTATCTACCCAAAAAAATAAGACTACAAAGAAAAATAAGAACACAGATAAGGAAAACAGAAAAAACAGAAAACCAAACACGAGCCACAAGAGAGCACCAATGCCTCATTCATTTAAATTAAAAGCTGATCTACATTCAAAGCAGCCTCGCATAGGGTACTTGAAGAACTACAATAAACTACCTACCTTGACTACAAAATTTACCAATAAGATCCAACTGAATCCAAAAGATTTCAGTCACAAGAGAGAGAGAGAGAGAGAGAGAGAGAGAGAGAGAATTCTAAAATCATCCATGACATCTGCATAATTCCCATAAGTTCATCATGAAGGAAGGCCACCATTACATCACATTTCACATCATTTTTTTTTTATAATTTCCCAACAAGATGCACAAAAAACCGATACATTACAAAACAAGAGTAATGACAATCCACAAATAATCCTCATATGACAATTTATCTTACACAGAATGCTCATTGTAGTGGAAACAATACCTCAGTAAAATACAACTGATTCGTATACTTCAATTACAAGGGGCACACAAATTCACCACTTGCTTCTATATCTTCTGTATCAGCATCATCCAAGTCATCCAGATCCATGCTGCCTCCAACAAAATTACCTCCATTTGTGGGCACCTCAGAAGGTTTCATCGCCTCCTGTATGATTCCCACTACCTCTTCAATGCTTTGGGATGGGTTATTTACATCATTGCTTTGATAAGTTCCCCCTTCCATCAATTCTATAGGCAAGTTCTTTAGGAACCATGGGTGTTTTTTAATTTCTGGAATTGTTATTCTCTGTGAAAGAATCAATGGAAAACACATTAAGATAAATATAACCTCGCTTAGTAATGAATCCGGTCTAGGAATCAGGTTCAGGTATGAACTGATGCTCAAGAGAATACCAAAACTTGAGCACGGCTCATTTATGAAATAACTTCAGCTTTTTAATAATCATTATATATTGCTTGGCATCTCACAGTTGGAACCTACATGGACTCGGGTAAAATGCGAGTGTGTGTCCAAGTGTCTGCTTTTCATAGACTTAGGTCATGTTTGTTTGGCTCTATGAGTGAGGAGATTAGACTAATAGTGAGGGAGGGCCACATAGAGAGTGTGGGAGGTTGTGATGAGATTACCACTCCAAGGGGACTAGCAATCCCCCTCCTCGGTTGTACTAGTCTGGAAGGAAAATATATGGATTAAAATATTAAATAATGGATTAAATATAAAATATTAATTAGAGATCTAGTGATGAGATTAATGGATTAAAATATCAAATAAAATGGATTAAAATATCTTTAATATTATTTTTTTTTTCAAACAATTTATTTGTGAAAGAAATATTTAATTTTTTTAATAAATACTAAAAAGATATATATATATATATATTTTTTTATATTTAGTGAATTTTTAAATGATTTTTACAAAAAATTTATATTTTCTTTGAGTCTCTCTAGATTAAGTGGACTTAAAAAGTATAAAAAAAAATAATTATTATAATATTAAAAAAATACTAAAAATTAAAAAATATGAATTTTATCTATTTATATTATATATAGTATTACTACTCTGGTGGTATACAAACAAATACTATTTATCCTACATCTCCAATGTGATACTACCACACTAATAAGATACTCACTAAATCCCACCATACTCTTACGGCATGTTTGTTTGGACGGACTGGATAAGAGGCGATTATAATCCACTGGATTGTTAATCCTGAAATACATTGTCCCCAGACTATTTAGTTGGATTAGATTTGTATCCTATGTTTGTTTAGCAATAAGATTAAATGTTTGGATTGGACTATTTCTATTGAATTCTATATTTGTTTGAAATATTATGGAGAAGGATAAATGCTCAAAAGACTATTTTGCCCTTTTGAATTATTTACTAAATAATAGGAATATTAAGTAGGTGTTTGGCATGTACTAAAAAAGTATACTTTTTTTTGCATACATACACTTATTTGGGTCACATCAATCAACAGCTTCTCTCTACTTTTCTACTCACTTTCTCTACTTTTCTACACATTTTTTTTTATTATATAAAAAGTCAAAAAGTGCACTTATTTAAAACATTTCAAACCAATAGTATCTAATTTTTTTACTAGACTTTTTTAAAAATTAAATAAATAGAATATTAATAAAAATTACATATATTTATTTTAATTGTAGTTGAGATTTTTAAATTTTATTTTACTTTAGTAAGTATAATCAATACCATATAATTATAAAAATAAATAATTTAATAAAGTATTTTCTACACATTTTTTTTTTATTATATAAAAAGTCAAAAAGTGCACTTATTTAAAACATTTCAAACCAATAGTATCTAATTTTTTTACTAGAATTTTTTAAAAATTAAATAAATAGAATATTAATAAAAATTACATATATTTATTTTAATTGTAGTTGAGATTTTTAAATTTTATTTTACTTTAGTAAGTATAATCAATACCATATAATTATAAAAATAAATAATTTAATAAAGTATAAAATATGAAGCACGGACACTTCTCCGAAGACAACGTATGTGTCGGACACGGACACGGACACGCGTCGAACACGCGGTGGACACGTGTCCGACACTCTACCCAATGTGTCCCCCTTTTTTTAAAATTTTTCACATTCGGACATGTTTGCTTTCGGACACTCTTGGACACGCTATGGACACGTTATGGACAGAAAAACTAACCTGTTGAAGAGAGAGAGAGAGAGAGAGAGAGGGGGGAGGGTGAAGAAGAACTGTTGAAATGAAGCCCTAGATCAAGTATGTTCTTCGATTCTTCAAATCTCTTCTTCAATCTTCTTCTTTTCTTCTATTTTCTTCATTTTTCTTCTTTTCTTGTGTTCGTCTGTGTTGTCTGCGTCGTCTGTGTCATCTTTCTCTCTGCTATCTCTCTCTCGCTATGGTGTTCCGACCCTCTTCCTCTGCTATCTCTCTCGCTATGGTGTTCTGACCCTGTCTATGTCCTAGCGTTTGACTATCAATGTATCCTTTCCATTCTATTAATTTTTTTCTGATAATATATACAGATATATGTTATATACTAATATATATACATATATATTTATATACTAATATATATATATGTTTGAACAAAAATCTTTTTTTTCTCTTTTCTTTTTTATTTTTATTTTTTAGGTATTATTATTTGCTTAAATAAATTATTTTTATTTATAGGAAAATTTTAATTTGTGAATAATATTTGATATTAAAATAAATAAATAATATTTATATTTTTTAATTTTACATATAATAAATAAATAAAATTATATATATTAAACGTGTCCCCTATTGAACGTGTCCCCAGCATGTCGTGTCCCTTATTTTTTGAAAATTTGCGTGTCCCCGTATCTATGTCGTGTCCCGTGTCCATGTCCGTACATCATAGAGTATAAATAATTTAATAAATAATTTATTAAGTATAAATAATAAATAAATAAATTTTATTTTTAAAAAGATATTAAATAGTAGAGGGTCAAAAATGTAATTTCACTACATAACTCCATAGGATGAGTTATCCTATGGATTGTATGTCACCCCCCATGAGATAGAACAATCCCATATATTTGGGATTCATAGTCCGGTACAAAAATTTTGAATTAAATAACGGACTACTAATCCGGATCAACTATTAGTCTTATCTCATGCTTGAATCCTTCAAACAAACACCACCTTAATCCCCTCCATCCTATGGAGCCAAACAAGCGAGGCCTAAGATATTGGGATATATATCTAAAATTAGATATGGGTATGGAGATACATCATGGATACTGATATACATTGCATATTATATAAAATTTTTAGAATAAGATGTGGTGAATTATGTAGAAGTGTATTTGAAGTTAAAAAAAGATTTAGGAGGGAAATGAAATTTCAATCTCTTATTCATGTGAGAGCTAGAAATATTTCTTTATTAGCAAATATGAGTTTCTTCTTTTTCAAACACCGTAAAAATTAGAATCTAAGTGTCCAACATGGGTACAAGCGTCGGACACATACCCCACAGTTTTACCGTTGTCAAATCCATAGAGTCCATGTAACACAGGCGAGCACAACATTTATCGGGGTATGCAGTAGTGGACTTGATTGGACTCTTAATAATTTTGTTCCAACAGTAGTAAATCAAGTTATTTGATAGACAATATTTACCTTTTCAGGGTTAGCCATAAAAATCCTGGTTAAAAGATGTCTACACTCGATGGAAATTCGGACATAATCTGGAATTGAGTAATGGACATTAAGAATCCGCTGTCATGAACCCAAAATTTTCAATCAGAATTCTACAATATAACAATAAAACAAGTTGACATGGCAAATAGTTTTCCTTTCACTCTCATGAAAAGTTTGTAGTCTTACAACAATAGTGTTTCTGAAGTTTTTAGGATCAGCAGGATCTTCAAAGGGATAAGCTCCAACCAGCATCACATATAAAGTGACCCCACAAGACCAAACATCTGCAAGCTATAGTTCTTCACGATTAGACATGCATAATAAGTTTCAGGAGACCCCCCCCAAAAAAAATATGAAATGCATGAACAAAGAACCATTGTGTACTTATATCACCTTTCCATCATATTCTTTTTTTGACAAGACCTCGGGTGCAATGTAGGCTGGTGTTCCGACAGTTGATTTTGGTTGAGAATGAAACACAGATGACTGAAAATGAAGCCACAAAATAATCTTAAGCAGATTTCAAGAAACAAAATGGGGTTGGCATAACTGTTGCATTAATTACCTTGGAGTACCCAAAATCACATATTTTGACACGTGGTGCAGTGCTCCCATCTAAAAGTGTATTTTCCAGCTTAAGATCTCTGTGACAGATTTGCTGCAACAGATAAAACTCTGTTAAAACTAACACTACTGAACACAAAACCACAGCTGATTTATGATGGGGAAGATCAAAGATAATACCATTGAATGACAGTAGCTGACCCCTGATATCAATTGTTGAAAAAAGAATCTTGCCTGATGCAGATCAACAAAAGGAGCCCTGAATCAGTTGCATTGATAATTTCGAGGAATAAGAAAAAATGAGGTTGATGTTGCATCAAATTGCCAGGGAAAAACTATATTCCTCATAGAAAAAAGTTAGAAATTATGACATCAATTTCAAGGTTAATATGTTCCTTTCTGAGTGAAGGTGGTGATTTCTTGCTTACTTTGAAGGTCATGCTGAATCTTTTTGGTATCTTATATACATTGATTGTATGTTTACATGTTCACAATCTTTTAAACATACTATGTGGAGCACATTCAGGCTTCAGCAGCAACATACTACAGTGGTTTACATATTATCATAACTACATAGAACAGGAAAGGGACATCAGATTGAAATGATATCATGCAAAAGAAGAATGAAATCCGGGTCAAAATGATAATGTAAGATGCTTGGAATCACTCCTGAAAATTGTATTAATCTGCTGCACATAGTGGGGAGTCATTTCAAATTGAAAGAAAATTGGATGGACTCGATTCAAATGTCATATAGACACCATGTATGATATAAATAATTTGCTTCCCAATAGCAATATAAGAAAACCCTTCATGGTTCAAGATTTTAAGTGAACTTTCCCCTTTTTACTTTACCTCATCCTCATTGAATCTGCCAGCATTGCATATCCTCTGGAAGAGCTCTCCTCCCGCAGCATACTCCATAACAATTGCTAGATGAGTGGGGGTTAACAAGACCTGTAAAGAATGGTCCCAACTCAAAACATCAAAAATAAAACCCATTTCACTCCATACAAAGTACCCGTCCATTTTACCTTTTATTTTAAACTGCTGAAATTAAATTCAATAGGAATCAAATCAATTGTAAGAACTACTTTAATACTTGCTAATCCTGTCTTGGGGAACTGTAATGAGTACAGTAAGCAAACCCAAGCTTAAAGTACTAACTTGACTAGAAAATTAAAATAGAGGTTTCGTATTGGGTTATTAGAGCATCTCCAATCCTTACTCTATCTTTTTTCATCAAATTTGAGTGAAATTTTGGTTAAAAGCTTAGTCTGACATGAACACTCCAATCCTTAATCGTTTTCTTTGTCAAAAGTTGTAGAAAAATTCCAAAATTATCCTAAAAATATGTTTAACCATTTTTTATGAAAGAATTTAAATTGGATATAAACGGCAACTTCAAAATTCAAAGTGGATGCCTTTCAATTCCAATTCCACTGTTTGGTATATTACATTATATTTTAAATTAAATTTGAAATACATGCCCAAACTCCACATATATGAAAAGGCAATTTTTTTTTTTGAATTCGACAGATCGAGAGGGCTAATTGATATCCATTTCTTGTGCAGCCAAACATTTCCAAGACAATTAGTTCTATAAAAATAAGCTCATTAAACAGGGAGAGGAAAAAAAAGTGAAACGGATCATTTCCAAATATGAAAAATATATCACTATCAAACACTCCCAATACCCAAAATGGACCAAAACAGAAGAGTCTAACTCCAAAATTACATAAGCAGACAAAAATTAATAACAAACATAACAAATTCTCATAGTATGTGACAAAAGTTAATGACAAACCTCTTTAAATCTAACAATATTGGGATGTTTCAATGATCTGTGATTCATGATCTCCCTCTGTACATGTTCATCAATCTGCAGCAAAAAAAGAACCTCAGAATAAACCCAAAAAAAAAAAAAGACCCAGATGGGAAAAATGATAACCCAGATGGAATAAAAGCATGAAATTAAGACGGGAAAAAAAAAGAAACCTTTTCGCCTCTCTCGATTAATTTGACAGCAAAGAGCTCTCTGGTCCACTTATCTCTAACAAGCTTGGCGACCCCAAAGTTACCAGACCCTATATCTTTCACAAATTCATAGCGTTCCATCACTTACAAAATCAAAAGGGATTGAATACAGACAGTCTTATCTCTCTCTCTCTCTCTCTCTCTCTCAGTTGTTACTGTTTTGGTTTTCTCCAAAAGGACTATGAATGACCACAAGTCAAAAATGGGGGGTTTCCTGGGGTTTTGTTACGACTATTATTGGCTGTTTTCTACGAGTTTATCAGCTCTCTACAAAAAGCAAACTTATAAAATATTTATAGATTTATAAAAAAAAAATTATAATTTTAATTATTAAAATTGATAAAGTTTATCATGATTTGAATACAGTAAAATTAATGGGTGTGTATCTGTAGAATTTTTCACTTTGGGTGAATTACAATAATTTTCAAAATATATATAATCAATTTCACAAGTTTAATATGAAGATTTAGAGAAAATATGATTAATTTCACGCTTTTAAACAATTTTATATTATATATTATATTAATTTCTTTTGAAATTTTAATTCATATAATAATTATATTAATTTTTTGTCAATAATTTGTTAATAATGAAAAAAATGATATTATCATATATTTTTATCTTTATTTATTGTAATGATTACCCACCATTTTCAATAGTTACGGACGCTTTAATCTTATTAAAATAATGGTTAGTGATTAGTGTAATTATGTCAAAAACTATATAATTAATTGTATTTTTTCTCAACCTTAGAGAAGGTGAGTGTAATTTACCCTTAATATAATTATCTCGACTTGTTTGTAAGTTAAGTAGTTTTTATGATTATTAAATTCTAAATAATCAATTACAAAATTTCTATTAAAAAATTGAAAATTTATTTGTTAAAATTTTTGATAATTGGTGAAAAATCAAACATGCTTGGTTAATTAAGACAAAAGATTTGAGACTTTTTTTTTGAAACATATTAAGGTTTCAAATAACTTTTAAAAAAAGTTAAAATTTTAACTTAATAAATCTTTTTTCTTTTGGTGCCCAAAAAAAGTTTCAAAAAAAAAATCAAGGTTATATTACTTAAAACTGTAACTAAACGCCATTAATCAATTTTTTTTAAAAAAAAAATAAATAAACAAAAGTTGACTTACAAATATTTCCAACTAGTAGTGTTATTCTAATCGAAAAATTAAACTCACTTTTTAAATCTAATGATATAATAATCTATTAAAATATGTAAGGCAACTCTCTCTCCCTTTCACACATATGTTATATTGACCAATTTAAGGGGGCCAAATAACACAAGCCATATTAGGCCAAGGATAGAAGACGGCCCACTCTGATACAGACCGAGCCAAGAGTTCGACCCTAGCCCTTTGCCCACTCCGAAGTGTGGCCAAGCTAACGGTTTGGCCTTAACTCTTTGCCCTCTATGAAATGCGATAGAGCAAGGGGTTCAACGCTAGCACTTTTCCTACTCTGAAGTAGGCCGAGTTCTTGAAGGACAGTCTGATGCCACGATGACAAAAAGGACATCCCTACAAACACTATTTTGTTCCTACCTACTCAAAACGTGGAAACACGGGAGGATATGGGGAACATGAAGCACACATACCAAGCCTGCATATCAGAGTATCAAGCGAGCATGTCGTCTTTCCCCAATGAGGAGCTACCTAGTAAATGACAAAGGAGACATGTGGCAAAAAGAAACGGCCTTGGGAGCAAGACATCTCCCCTTATATAAGGTAATCTCATTTACCTTTACAAGAATCTCGATGTCAATACTCTCTCTCTCTCTACATTGATCTTCTCCGCCTTCTCTCTATACTTTTGACTTTAATATCATAGGGGTTTTCGACCTAACCTCGGTCGGGCAGTCTTATTGTTTGCTACCTTACTCTTCTCTATAGTCACTATAGTGCAGAAATCACCGCTACACGTCAATCATCTCACTTACACATGATTAGATCTAGAAAAGTGAAAAGTAAGCTTGTATATCACTTTCCATTATAATATATGGATGACCATTATATTTTCTTAAATTTTAAAGCACATAATAATTTATTCTCTTTCCATAATTTATTTATTAATTGTATGAATGCAAATTAATATTATCACCTCTTCAAACTAAAATGCATATTTTACTTATAATTATTCACACGTGGACAGTATGCATGCCACTTGCATTCATTCTATTTGCTTTTAGTTTTTTTTAAAGAAAAGTCAATACAATTATATTAAGCTTATGAATTTTTTATTTCTCAAACTGCATTACTGGCAAATTACACCCACAATCTTTGTCATTTGTGTCTTAGGTCAATTTGACGGAAGTACTAATTTTACTTATAATTATTCACGAAAAATGCTTGGGAGCACTAATTAGTGCTCCCACTAATTAGGTGGCAGTGGGTCCCGCCATTAATGATGTGATGTTTTGGTCTTGGAGTTGTATTTTTTTTATTTTTTTTAAACTTTTTTAATACATTAGTGCTATTAGTGGTATTGTTTTTAGTGGGATGAATCATTGTTGAATTATTCACATGTGGACAGTATGCATACCACTTGCATTCATTCTATTTGCTTTTAGTTTTTTTTAAAGAAAAGTCAATACAATTATATTAAGCTTATGAATTTTTTATTTCTCAAACTGCATTACTGGCAAATTACACCCACAATCTTTGTCATTTGTGTCTTAGGTCAATTTGACGGAAGTACTAATTGTATCAATTTCACTTTTAATAGTTGTATATTTTGTCAATTTAATTTAATTAATAACATCAGTTAAGAAATTAGAAAACAAATAAATGACAAAATAATTCATTAAAAAATGGACCATTTTAATTGGACATCTTCCTAACCATCACTATAATTGGACATCTTCCTAACCATCACTATAATGATAGTGAATGAACTATTTTGTCTCTTAATTTCATTTTATCTTCAAAAAAGACATTATAAATTAGACTATGGGAGTATTTGATAATCTGATTCAACACTTAAAACTGAATGTATTATGTAATAATCAATTAAGCTCATTTGACAACTATAATTGATATCACTTAAAAATTTAGGTACATCTTAAAGTGTACGCTAATTTTGTTTTTTTTGTTTGTTTGTTTGTTTTTTTTTTTTTTTAAATTAAGTTTTATGTATATGAAACTTACTTAATTCTGACTGAATTTATAAATACTAAACATAAGTATCGATATAAACTATTATAAATTATTATCACCATCGCCACTACCACCATCACTACCATTGCTACCTCCATCACTACCACCACTACCATCACCGTCATCGCTTCTGCTACCACTACCTTCATCACTATTGTCATTGTTGCCATAAGTATTACCATCATCTACTATCACTATCATCGCTATCGCTACAGTTACTACCACCATCAATGCTACAACTACCACAACCATCAACACTACCACTACCACCACCACCACCACTACCATGCCATAGCCGCCACTATCACAATATAAAAATCAAAATATAAAATTTGAAAATAATAAATTTTAAATTTGATCTTATACATATCAAATAATTTATTTTTAATTCAGCACTTTTATTAAACAACTTTTTAGCTTAAAAAATTCAACATTCAATTTTCAGTACTTAATTTTCAAACTTCAGTTTTCAGTTTTGAACTTTATCAAACATCACCTAAATTGACATTTGTGAAAAAAATTATAATAAAATAGATGCAATTAGAATTGGGGACTAAATTGACATAAAAAATAAATTATAAGACTTGTGGGTATAATTTGTCTTCAACAATTTTTACCCTTTTTTCTTACTCGGATGATTTTGGAGAAGTTTGGCAGTTAACACATTTAACACACCTATTAAACACATACAAATAATAATAATAATGGTAATAGCCATTTAAATAATAATAATAAATACAACTTGTTATTAGGGCTGCAAATGAACCGAATTATTCATGAACAAACTTGGCTCAGCTCATTAAGGGTTCAGCTTGGCTCAGGTCGACTTGTTTAGTAAACGAGCTGAGCTCGAGGTCGAATATTACGTTCGATTAGTAAATGAGCCGAGTTCAAGCTCGAGTATGCTTGGCTCATCAAACTTGGCTCGCTTATCTTTATTTAAATTATATAATAAATATATTATTTATATATGAAATAAGATATAAATATATATAAATAATAGTAAAAATACATAATTTATATATTAAATAATATTAATAATATTTTTATTTAAATAATATAAAAAAAATCCTATTGAGTCGAGTCGAGCCAGGCGAGTCGAGCTTGAGTTTCATTAATATTAATAAGTCAAGCTGAGCTCGAACCCAGTTACTTATCGAGCCGAACTCAAGCTCGATAAACGAGCTCAATAAGCAAACGAGCTGAGCTCGAGTTCGAGTTCGAGCTCAGCAAAGCTCTGTTCGGCTCAGCCCAGCTCGACTCATTTACAGCCCTACTTGTTACTATATCAACTAGAGCATCTTCAAAGGAGGAGGCAAAAGAGCATCCTAAGGTATTTTTGTTAGTGCAACTGGTTTTCTTCTTCGGCAAGGGGTTCTGTATTAAAAGAGATACAATGTCTATTTTGATTTTGGCTCTCTACAATTAGTTAGTCTTCATTGAGAAGCAAACGGATTTCTCACTGAAATTGCTCCCTCCATCTGTTCAAGTACTTTTCTTTTGGTTGGTTTTGTGTTTGAATATTGCATCCAATTGATTTGATTTTGTGTTTGCATATCATAATTTGAAAATATGATCTTTTAAAAATATTTTTTTTTAAAAAATAATTTAATATATTTTCTAAAAAATAATTTAATTGTATATCTTACAAATGTCACTTCAATATAGGCAACATGTCATAAAAAGATTATTTATTCATTTATCTATGTTTATTATTTTGGGTGATTTACGTGTAAGTCCTAATAAGTAGGCATATTATCCAATAGGTCTTATGATGTTAACGACATTTTTCATCAAACACTATTAAAAAAGTTACTAATTGTTAAATTTCAGTGACAGTTTGAAAATTTTATCACAAAAAATATTATTAATTATAAGTTTTAACAACAGTTTTAAAAAATCGTCCCAAAAAATGTAATTAATTTTCAACTTTCAGCAACAGTTTAAAAATTTTGATACAGAAAAACATCACTAGTTATAAGTTTTTGTGAAATTTATAAAAATAGTGATAAAAAGCCACTAATTGTCAATTT